TTCTGGTGGAACCGACCTTCGAATCTCTTCACCAAACACTTCTACTCGAAATGGAAGTAATCCCAACAAAGAATATCTTATTTCGTTTAAGGTGATGAAGGACTGGTGGCAGAATTTCCCCACAATGATATAAATAGAGCTAACGTTTTCATTCAATTTCACATATCTTTGCTTTTCCAAAAGTTGTTCTCATCCACAACAGTGAAGAGTTCAAGCAACATTGCCACGAGTGCTCTTGGGTCACAGGGCAGATGTGAATTCCAAGGAAGTTCGGGCATTTTTCGTATCACGTTCTGTGCTGGGATTACAGATGAAGCAAACTTATATTTGCCATAGCAGTAGGCGACATTGCTTTTTTCGTTATTGAGTAGGCTTTTGAGACTATCAGTAGTAGATCATATATATGAGTTGTATGGAAAACATAAACTTTACTTATATCATCGTGGGAAAATTCAACTACCATTCCTTCATCACCTTAAACGAAATAGGGTGAACACAACTAATATATCTGATTTACTGGTGGTCTCGAAAACCTACTCAATAACGGTATACCGTCAGTTTATGAGAGAAATCTGTTGATTTTTGTGTCTTCATTATGACTGGTTCAATTAGTAATTCATCAGAATCTTCACCATTGCTAATTCGTAATGATTATCTCGTCCATTTCACGCGTTATCACAAATTAGGCTGCTTTTTTCGACAACCAATATTTTCATATTCTCTCAAAACTCTGCTATTGACAACCTAACTTCTCCGCATTGTTCCCGAAATTCTGTGACAACTCGTCGATTTGGTGCTTAACACGAAATTGAAACCCCTTTTACCCTTGGCCACACAGGGTTATGAAGGACTGGTCGTTGAATTCTCCCATTTAACATAGCTTTGCTTTCCAAAGGGTATTCCTACACAATGGAAACAGGGGGCCTATTCATATAATGGTGGGAAAATGCAACTGTTTATGGCCTAGGATGACTATATCTCATATTCGCAATTTACTTTATTGTAGCGAGACTATCAGTAAATCAGTAATATGAGATGTATTCACCTAATTTCGTTTAAAGTGATGAAGGACTGGTAGTTGATTTTTCCCACAATGATATGAATAGAGCTGACGTTTTCATTCAATTTCACATAGTCTTGCTTTCCCAAAAGTTGTTCTCATCTAGGCACCAATGGACTGCCGTTTCGACCTCGCATCGGTCTTATCAACACCCCCAGCGGGAGTCGAACCGTGACAATGTCTACTTTGTATGATGTTGGAACCACTTTTTCCAACTCACTCATTGCTGCGACGGTACTCTCAAGTCTTGCAACTCTTCCCTACAATATGCTCCAATGCCGTTGCGTGGCCGCGACGAAGGGTCGGCTGGATTGTAAAGCCCTGCTTCAAGCCTTTTCCCTCACTTAACATGGTACCGGCCGTTCTGCCTCCAAATACACACTCGTGTGAATTGGAAACTCAAAAAACTTCACAAGGAAGCGCAGATTGGCGAATTTAATGCCAGGGAAGTTTGTGACTATTTTTACAAATTAAGATGGAAATTCGCAATTCGGCAGGCTGGATATCTCCCTATCCGAGAGCAGCTAGTCGTATTTTTTGCGAATTTCCGTCCTCTACGCAAAACACGAAAGTGATTTTGTGTATCCTGACACTTCTATTAAATAAATGCTTCTCCGCTATTCGATTTGCTTACAAACAGTGACAAATTTTATAGGATAAGCATAGCCAAATACTGCTTCCCTCGAGGCTCGTAGTTTGCTTATGGAGTAGTGATCCAAAACTCAAATTTTATCTGGAGTTTCATAGCCCATCTGCAGACTATTTCGGTACCTCATGGCCACCGGAATCCTCTTTGGTCAAGCCTTGTTCTCCATTGTGGCTCCGGCGGCTCGGACAACTTCCTTCTGGGCTTCTGAGTGCGTGCATTCAGGCGGCCATCTCCAGAGTCAACCAGGTCTGGCAGGGTTGTGCCTGAAAATTCTATGGCGAAATAGTCACGACGGCAAAGAGTGAATATTGGCAAAGACTGCAAATGAGCCTTACTGGGTCCATCCTCACTTTGGCAATCTGGTCGTTTTTCCAGGGCGACTTTGAAGAAAGTATCTTGTGCCAAGTGCCATCTGCCTCGGACCATGGAATTGGTACATTTCCCGACCTTTCGTGCTCACCATCGCCTGTAAGACCTGCTCCAAATCCTCAAAGAGGAAATTAAAATCCATACCTTGACTAACTTTCTACTGAACGCTTTTAGTATCTGTCCTCCTTCTCATATTTTATCGCACCATTTTACGATTCCAACTCTTAATTATAAATCCGGAGAAACGTTTTAAACACGAGATATCCCCCCTTGTTACGGGGGAAAGAGGACGGGACTTTCGACTGTCCGCAGAGCTGGAACTCTTTCTTGCAAAGTCTTTAAGTTAACACTAAGTCAAGAAGACTATCTGGCTCTATCCTGATCTATCTATCTACCGAGTCTGTCTACATGCGTGTGTAAACGTCTGTTAGTCCCAAGTCCTCCTGGTTTAATGACCCAAGCAGAAGCATTGCTGATAGTGCGTAAGCCCGAGAGTAACCCTGGTCGAGTTGATGTCGAAACCACCAGTCAGCGCGTCAACCTAGGGTTATTAAGGCTGGTTGAGCCGGAGAAGAGCATGAATTTGGTTGCTTAATCTTGTACGTCTGAGTTGATTGATGGGCGGTTGAACGGGTGTTAATGTGCTTTAAACTCTACTTGAGCTGAACAGTTAAAAAGTAACTAAATCTCTTCTCTTTCCTTCATTATTCTGTCTTTCAGTGAAAGCAATCAAGGAATCTCTTCATCATCAGTCTACAAAACGATGTTTTCTAAAGAGGATATCTTCGCGTCTCTTAAAGTAGATTTATGTTTTTGTGAATTTTTACAGATGATGATTTATGTTTTCGATACTTTCTCTAAGATTGGCCTCCTTTAGTTTCATGTGAGGTCACTTTGCGAATATTTTCTAGCCTCCTTTGCCAAGCAAATGAAAGTTACAACACCAAACATGTACCCAGTTTCCCTTCGTTTGTTGCGGTCGACCCAGGCGTTGACAAGCCTTCCAAAGGCGAATTTGTGCACTGGGTCACAGGAACAGGATCAGCCAATCGTGGGCAGATCATCGGCGGTCCCGACGCCCAATTCCCGCTGGACGGGAGGCAGAGAGGACCTCGGACGACTCGAACTCATGTGCAGTCAATTGAGGTGACCGGTAGCGAGGACAAATCTCGCGTTCGGCTCTCCTAACATGGCAGATGAGGCTATGCTTGCTCATGTGCACCGGTATCTTGCTGCCTGTGCCGCGGAAGAAAGCCAGACAATGCCTACGCCCCACCGTGACTACTGAAGCTAGGTCCCCACGATAACATGTATCGATGACCAAATCCTCCTTTTCATGCCTCTGTCAGCCTGCCGACAACCAGACTGTCCCGTCTGCCAAAACCAGCGGAACAGACACATAAGGCAGATTGCTGCTGTTGTTATGGCTACTTGTTAAACTGGTCGCTAAAACAAATTAGTATCTCCACATTTTGTACCAATCATGCTACCTTTAGTCTCACCCTGGAGATTATATGATGCGTCCGTGCAGGCCCCCTTGACTTCAGCAAACTAGTCCAGACCGAGATTTGGCCGAGTCGAAAATATGGTTTCTTACGAGAAGAAAAAGTGGGCTTCAATGAAGCTATTGGAGATGTTCACTTCGTACGAAAGCCAAAGATGATGAGATTCATAAGTCGAGTTAATTAGAATAGAACGGCTGAGGCCAGTTGTTTTGCAGCCGTTTTGCATCAACGTGGCGTTCAGGTTGGTTTAGTTCACTAGACATCCCACCTCGTGACAAGGGAAAACAGGATGAGCTTTCATCCATCATATCACATGACAGATATCATCAATGATGGAACTCATTCTTGCAGAAGCTTCTAGTTATTACTAAATCGAGAAGACTAACCAGCTCTAACCTTCATGTTATCTATACTCATAACTAAAAATGATAATATGTAGGTATGAATAGATAAATATAGAATCATTTTATTAGAGTACACACTCAAAAAAGAGAAAAAATTCTATACCTATCATCGTTTTTATTTATGTGTATGCGTAGCATTCAGGATAGTACCCTGTGACCCAAGGGCAGTCATGGCAATGTGGCGTAGTGACTGACGTGTCGAACTTACATGCTGCACTGTCATGGTTCGACTACCGCTTGGGGTGTTGATAAGACTTAGGCGAGGTCGGAA